ATGGCTCGAAAACCGCAGCAAGACGGCCCTCAGTGGCCACGGAGCCTCCCAAGGATGCCCCCTAAGAGGCCCAAATCCTTCGAATACACAAAAATCAATGCTTTTGAGCGTTCTCGCCTTTTCGCTGCCTATGGGCTTCTGAGGCCTCAAGATGACTCCAACATCGCCAAAGAAAGCTCCAAGTGCTTCAAGTGGAATTATCAAGAGCTCCTGGATCAAAAGGGCGCCGAAGACCCTCAGAACGCCCCAATAAGCGCAGTCAACGGGCTCCAAACCTAACAGGGCCCAAGAACGGCCCAAGAGCGGGGATCAATGGGTGGCAGGTCCCAAGAAGGGTCTCCAAACCTATTCAAGAAGCCGAGCATAGCCCCAAGGTAGACCAAGACAGCCTCCAAGAGACCAAACTATGTCAAACACCTGATATATTTCATTGGTTTCGAATCCCACCAGCCCTTTAGGGCGTCGGTGGTTTAAGGAGTTTCCTCTTCCACCCCTCCTTCTTCCCCTTCGGGGAGGGGTTTACCCCTCCCCCTACCCCCTCCCCACTGACCTGGACAGGGGGTTCCGCGGCGCGTTGGAGCGCCCAAGATCGACCCCTGGGAGGGCTAAAATTCGACACCCCTCACGAGGATCGTGGCTCCTGAGGGGGGGGCTGAAATTTAGGAACCCCTCTTCTTTGATCGATTTCCTCCACGATGGCCGCAAGAGGCCCCCAGGAGGCCCCCAAGAGACCCCCAAGATGCCCCAAGAGACCCCCCAGAGGCACCCAAGGTGCTCCCAGAGGCCCCAAGATGGCCACAAGAGGCCCCAAGAGGCCCCCAGGAGGCCCCAAAGAGGATTCCGAACGGCCCACAGAGGCCCCCCCGAGGCACCCAAGACGCCGAAAAGCCCCTCAGGACGACCCTCTACTCGCCTGGGCGTCGTTTCTGGACGGGCTGGTGGGGATACGCGAAGCGTCTAGAATTTCTAGGTGTTCTGTGTCGACGGGCTTCTAGGTTACCAATATCGCTCCAACACTGCTCTCAAAGTGGGACCATTAAGGGCTTCAAGAGGGCTCCGAAGACCTCCAAGAGCGCCCCAGGGGCGGGTATCAAAGAGTGGCAGGCCCTATGATGACGCCCAAAAAGCTCCAACGGGGCCCAAGACAGCTGTAAGGCTGCCCAAGATGTTCCAAGACAAACCCCGCGAGGCTCACATCATTCAACAAACTATGACAGTTGACCAACTACTTGGGCATGCTCACCCGTTCGCTGCCGACGGGCGTCTAAGGCCTCTAGCTGGCTCCATCATCCCATAAGATAGACCCGAGTGGAGCCGTCAAGGGCTCCAAGAGGGCTCCGAAGACCCCAAGAGCGAAAAATGAGCGCCAAAGGATGACTCAAGAGCGGGGATGGGTGGCAAGCCACAAGATGGCCCCTGAACAACCCAAAGAGGTCCCATCATAGTCCCAAACTGACCCAATGTTCTCCCCGAAGAGGTCCCAAGAAGCCCCTGAGAGACCCCTGGGAAGCCGCCCGACGCATCCCAGGGACTCCCAGGAATTGCAAACACGCTCCAACAGCCTTCGCAGGGACTCAACAAAACATGCACGTCCCTATGTGTTTCTATGGTTGGCGCCTTCTCAACTGTTCAAGCTGAAATGATGAAACACGGGTGGAGCACTTGCCGTCACGTGTTGCCTTGACGCGAGCTTCACACATAGTTTGAGGAAACTGCTACTAGAACCCACACGTTCCCGATCGCCATGAGCAAACAAGCAGATGGCAACGATAATGCAGTGGGGAGTTTCGGAATGCGAGGAGCGATCCGCCGCACCACCATGTAACGGTGAAATGTTCTCTCCCCAGCCCTCGCACCTACAAACTGCTTGTATCGCAACCTCTTCGGAACCGCAAACACGCCTCCTGAGATCCTCTCCGCAAGCCGCGTTTTCCGCTGGCCCCTGCTTACAGGCTGCGTTCTGGGAGACCGCTGGCCAGTGTCGTGTCCGTAAGCAGAGCCCACCTCCAGACGCGTGGCGTCCAGGCGCTTCTGAGCGCTCTCTGGGACCGCGTCTCTGGAGGCCCTCTTGGGCTGTCACGGGGGCGAATTGTGGCCTTGGGGCGATCCTCGGCCGTCTTGGACCCCTCTGTAGCATTCTTAGAGCCAACCTCCGCAGCAAACCCAGAATGCAAAAAAACAAAACCTCACAAAGAAACGGCATTGGCAATTGGAACCGTCGCGAGCCCAGATCTATTTGCACATCTTGGAGCCTCTCAGGAGACTGTTGGAGCCGATCTAGCGACCTTCGGATGTATTGGAGGCCTCTTGTGCCGTCCTGACGGTCTCTGGGAGCAGTCTTGGGCCCTCTGGGCGCCCTCTTGGCGCCCTGTCAGGCCGTCCTGAACGCTCCCAGACGGTCCAGAGGCCCACGGACAGTTTCTGCATGCTGTTTGGTCCGCCCTGCCCATCTTTCACAGGGCCGTACAGTCGGACCTAGGCCAGAAGAACATCGCTCAAGAACACGAGACCCTCCGCCGGGCAAAACTCATAGAACATCCAGAGACCGTCTCCAGAATGCACGAGAACATCCAACAAAGACGAAAAGCACTATGGTAGACTTCCCGAACCGACCTCGATCTTATGCCTCGGACCGACTGTCTCAAAGTCAGTTCGCGGACTGCGCTCCTCGTCACTGCTTTGTCAAAGCGGCCACGTTCCAGAAGGTGTGGCTGTGGTGTCTGCCCCTTCTGGGGCGTCCATGTTGAATAATTGCTCCAGCTCAACACCATCCCACAGATTACTGAGAGGCACCCTGGCCAGACACGTCCTCGCACTCGGGCATGGCGCTCTCGCCCGAGACATCCTGGCACTCAAAGACGCCACCCGCTCAACACTCCTTCGCGATTTACTTCGCCTTACATCCACGCGGTTGACTCGGAAAGCGCGCTCTCGCCGCCGGGACGCGGGCTGCCTTGGCGCTCCCAACCGTGGAACTGCTGCTTCTGACCCATGGAAGCTGCTCCTATGGCGGATCCCATCACCCCTCCCTCCTCCCTTCTTCATTAGAAGGAAAAAAAAACTATACACATTGGCGCTCCGCGCGGACTTCTTGAATCTGCGCCGGACCCCCCTCCCCGGCACGCGGAGCGCGCCAGGGGCGGCACCAGAGGCGCCGCCTGGGGGGGCTCAGCGCAGATCCAAGAAATCCGCGCGGACCTCCGAGTCGTCATGTTTATGTAATTTGTTGTTCCTCTTTTCTGATCCATGGAAATGACTCCTATAGCGGAACCCATCCCGCCCCCTCCTCCCTTCTTCATCCCTTCTCCCTCGAGGTCCCGACCTATCCCCGGGACCGGTTTCTCGTCCCGAGTCGTTTTTGTTGACGGTCCCGACGGCTGGGAAGGACCTCCAGAGGCCGAAAATAAGGAAAAACCTCCCGTCGTGATTTTTTCATTGCCGGAGGGGGTTTGGGTCTCTCCTCCCTTCTTCATCCCTCCCCCCCTCCCCACTTCAGGGCCCGAGCTCTGCGCTTCCTCGCCACAGGGCGTGCGCTCGTGGACCCCCAGAGGGCGGGTGTGCGAACCACAGGGCTACACACAGGACTCGACTGCGAGCAAGCGCAGAAGCGACTGGCCCTCGAAGGACCCCCCCCTCTGCTGCCGCAGCGGCCGCGGCCGTCGCCACCGCCGCCGCCGCAGTCTTCGCTGTCCTCGCCGTGACCGTCGCCGCCGCCGTCCGGGCCGCGGCCGGGGCCGTCGCCGCGGCCGTCGTCGCTCTCGGCCCGCGCGCGCGATCGGCGGCGCGCTCCTGGGCGCGCCTCCGCCCATGGGGCACCGCGGCAAGCCCCCGCCGCGCCGCCGCGGCCGCGCGCCGCGGGGCCGCGCCGCGGCGCCCAGCGCGGCCCTGCGCGCCCGTCGCCCGCCCGGGGACCGCGCGGCCCGTGCAGCCCCGCGCGCGCTCGTCGGCACCGCGAGCGGCGAGCAGGTTGGCTTCCTCGTCCTCCTCCTCGTCCTCGTCCTCCTCCTCCTCCTCATCCTCCCCATCCTCCTCCTCCTCCTCTTCTCCTCATCCTCCTCCTTCCTCCCTGATCCACCTGGCAAACATCACAACTTCGGAAGTATGTGCCACGACTCCTCTCCTTGCTGCACGCTGCACCACACACCGATCCAGTCCGAGCCCCCCTCCCCCCGCTGTTGTGCCGCCGATCTGGCGAATCCGCCCGCCACCCACCGCCCGCCCACGACCGCACCCTCCCCAGGATCGGCCTCCCCCGCTGGGGCGGCGCGCACGAGGGCCTTCTGAGAAGGCAGGGGGAGCTTCTAATCAATAAGGCAAGCGGGCCCCTTGGCAGGGACAGGAGGCGTCCAGGAAGCCCGCACGCCGCAGACCCCTTCGCGCGCGCCCGTGTTGCCACAAGAAGATGAAGAAGAACAAGAAGACGAAGAAGAAGAATAATAATAATAAGAAGAAGAAGAAGCGTACGAGAACCGCTCCAATCCTGCCCCTCGCTGTTCCTCTCTTCCTCCACTTGCTGCTCCTCCTCCTCCTTCTCCTACTCCTCCTGCTCATGTTCCTCTTCCTCCTCCTCCTCCTCCTCCTCCTGCTCCTCCTCCTCCTCCTCCTCTTCCCCCTCTTCTTCCTCCCCCCTTAATGATTCCTCCTCCTCCCTTCTCCTTCGCTTCCTCCTCCTCCTCCTCCTCCTCTTCCTCCTCCTCCTCCTGTTCCTAATATGTGTCCTCTTCCTCAGAAGGTGTCTTATCCTCCTCTTCCTCCTCCTCTGGTTCCTCGCCCTGGTCGTCTCATCCGTACTCTCATCCTTGGTGATCGATTATCCTCCTAGGCATAAACCCTTCTCCTCTTCCGCCTCGCTCATCTCCCTCCTGCTCCTGCTCGTCCTCATCCTCCGCACACTCAACTCCACACTCCCACTCGCACGGTGACCGCAACCGCGCGCTCTGGCTGTCACCCCCGCTCGGTCTGCCGCAGAGCTAGCAGGGTGCAGACCAAGGTTGCCAGCATCAGGGCGTGCCAGCGGCGGACCTCGAGCGGGCACGAACCGTCTCGCTCGGCTTACTCCGAGGCTCGCAATTCGGCGGCGTGCCCAGGGGGGACGTGAGAAGGGGCGGGCCTCCTCAGAAAGCTCGGAAGCCCATCCGGCCTTCCGAGAAAGTGGTGTGGGCCCTCCCCGAAGACACTGACAACCTCCCAGAGGGCGCGAGGGCCTCTGAGAAGCCCCGCCGCATTCCGAGAAGGCCTTCTCCTTCTCAGCTCCCCCCTCGCTCGTCGCCGAGTATACGAGGGAGGAGGGGGAGGAGGGGGAGGGGGAGGGGGAGGAGGAGGAATAGGAGGAGGAGGAGGAGGAGGAGGAGGAGGAGGAGGAGGAGGGGGAGGAGGGGGAGGAGGGGGAGGAGCAGGAGGGGGAGGGGGGGAGAAGGGGGAGGAGAGGAGGAGGAGGAGGAGGAGGATTTCCCCCCCTCGCTCGCCGCCGAGTTCTCGGGCGAGCCTCGGGGCCGTCCTCGGTGCCCCCTCTGGGGCTGTGTGTGTGGGGGGGGAGGGGCGGCTTCCCAGATGCCTTTCGCGGCCTCCTCCCGGGGCTCTCCGGGGGCCGGCTGGGCCCGCGTTGCAGACTGTGCTGGCGCGCGCGGGGGCCCTCGAGGCGAGCATGAGGCCTCTGAGGCCGATCGGACGGGGGATTCCCCGAGAGCCGAGGGCGGGAGGGGCGTCCCAGCGTCCCCCCCATCTGATGGGCCTGTTCTCCACCACCACGACCACCATAAGGTGGAGGGGGAAGGAGGTGGAGGACGAGGGGGAGGAGGACGAAGAGGAGGAGGAGGAGGAGGAGGAGGAGGAGGAGGGGGAGGGGGAGGAGGACGACGAGGGGGAGGAGGATTAGGATGGGGAGGAGGAGGAGGAGGAGGAGGAGGAAGAGGAGGAGAAGGAGGTGGAGAAGGAGGAGGAGGACCCCCTCCCCCTCCAATGTATGGTGGTGATGGTGGAAAAACAGGCACATTACCATCCCCCCCCCAAGCGACACCAAATCGACCCCCTTTGTGGGTAATCGCCGCGCGCCGGCGACCTGCGCGAGGTGGAGCGCTGCCGCCGCTCGCCTGCCAGAGGAGAACGCGTCCAGGAAGGCAGCCGCGCACAGGACGGCACCGCCGAAGCTGAGCAGGCCTGCGCTCTTGGGTGGGAGGCGGGGGGGGGGAGCTGGAAGGCACGGCTCAACGAGTGGAGGTGGTCACTCCCGCACCGCCCAGAGGAGAAAGAGGGATCGAGCGCTGCACCCCGAGGGGGCAAGCAGTGGACTAGAGACGTGCTCAGCAGACGGCCGTGGACACCCAGGCTTCCGTCGTCGCTGCCGCGTCGCGCTGCTGGCGCCGCCGCATGGAAGTGCCCTCCGCGCGTGCCCGCTGGCCTGCGGCGCACGTCGCGCCCCGTCGGGGCGCCGCTGCCGAGAAACCTGCCGGAAGGGAGACCACTCCAAGCGTGCCCGCCCACTCCCGGCTTAAACATGTTGCTCCCTGGGGCCCTGGGGTCTCATGGTTGCGTTTCTTGCGGAAGGTTTCTTGTGGTCAAGTTCCTACTGGAATTCTTGGGTCGTCCAGGGGCCCTCTTGGAGGCCTGTGGGGTCGTCTGGAGCTGGCGGAAGCCGGAGATGGTGAATGCACCGCAGCCTGCAAGAGCCTGCGGGAAATCGTGGAGTTCGGCCGCAAGCGAGTGAGCACGCCTGGAGTGGGCCTCCTGGCTTATGTTGCTCCCATCGTACTTCAGGACCACATCCCAGAAATACGTTCGAGCACCCCGAAAAGTGTCGAAACGGTGTCGAGCGAGTGTCGCCTCCCAGGGCCCCACGCTTGAAAACCCTCTCCAGCTGCGGTACTGTCTCCTGGTGCTCGACATGCTGATCTCTGGTTATCAAGGCCAAGGCAGGTTGGAACATCAGAACTCCCGGCCTGCATCCTGGGCGCAGCGCGGGCCGCGCGAGGGCCTGGCGGGGCGGGCACGCGCACGCTCGGAACGCGAGCCTCCCTGGCACGCGAACGCGCTGGCCGCGCTGGCCGCGCCCCCGCCACGAGCGGGCTCGCATGATGGAGCGGTGTGCGCCGCGGGCAGTTTGCCGGCCTGCCTCCTGGCGTTGACGCTTCGAGTGGTGGATCGACTACAGAATTGATTTACCCCAAAATTGATTTTCTCGTCGAGTCGTACGTAGACTTGTTCGTCGATCTACGAACGCCCCGCGCATTCCTCATGGATTCGACGCACGAGCGAAATTTGGGGTACATCGATTCTGTGGTCGATCCCCTACTCGAACACAGGCAACGCGATGGTTGCCGAGAGTTATGATGTTCCAACCTGCTTTGGCCTTGATAACCAGAGATCATCATTTCGAGCACCAAGAAAAAATACCGAAGCTGGAGAGGGTCTTCAACCGGGCCCTGGGAGGCGACACTCGCTCGACACCGTTTCGACACTTTTCGGGGTGCTCGAACTTATTCCTGGGATGTGGTCCTGAAGTACGATGGGAGCAACATAAGCCAGGAGGCCCACTCCAGGCGTGCTCACTCGCTTGCGGCCAAGATCCACGATTTCCCGCAGGCTCTTGCAGGCTGCGGTGCATTCACCATCTCCGGCTTCCGCCAGCTCCAGACGACCCTACAGGCCTCCAAGAGGGCCCCTGGACGACCCAAGAGCTCCAGTAGGAACTTGAACGTCCATCAATTTTTCAGTGCGGGAAAGCCACACTTTCCACCGCAAAACCATCGACACCCAAGAAACCCAGGGCACCCTGGAGGCAAGCGAGGGGTCTCTTGGCATGGGTCTCCACTGCAGCTTGGCCCCTCCCCCTGCCCCCCCCGCCTCGGCTCTGGAGAGGGGGCGGTGCGCGGGCCGTGGCAGGGTCCAAGATGGACCAAGACGGTTCCAAGAAGGCTCCAGATGGCCTCCAACACAGCACAAAAGGGGTTTCTTGGCATGGGCTTCCACTGCACTGCTCTGCGATCCCGAGGCCACGAACGCCCCTGCAGAGACTGCAACCAAACAGGTTCCGCGCTCTCCCGAGCCTCCCCCCCAGACGGCCGAGGCAGGCCGCCCAGGCTGCCGAGATGGCCCGGGATGCCCCCCAAGATGGCCTGAGATGGCCCCCGGGAGGCGGGTTTTGGACGAAAAATCACGAACAGTCAAAACATATTCCCAAATACTCAAAAATAGATAACCCCCCCAAAAAAAACATCTCCCCCACGATGTTTCACTATTCTTGAATATCCCTCCTATAGAGGGGCACGCCCGACTTAACCCAAGATCAGAGGAGGAACCGCTACCCATTCCTCTCCTCTTCCCTCGTTTCCTCCTTTTTGGGCCTCCTCGGAGGCCCTCGTCGCCACCGCTGGCTTCGCCTCGACATTCTGGTCAGAACGCACCCCTGGAGAGGTCCGGGGAGTAGCGGCATCCGGGGAGTAGCGGTATTGGTACCTTTTTCGGTTTCCCCACAAGTGGCCCCCGAGACGGCACAAGAAGGCCGCAAGAGAAGCGAAGCACGGCCCGAAGACGCCCAGATCCTTGACTTTCCGATGTTTTTGAAATGCTTGGGCGTCTTCACCTTTTCGAACTTCCTTCAGCTTCAGACGGTCCTGGAGACCTGCAAGACGGCTCAAGAGGGCACCAAAGTGAACCAACAATCCTTCGAGAGGGCCCATAGACGGTCCAGGACGGCCCCAAGAGAGCCCCAAGTTGCCCAAGAGGGCCTGCTGAACGACACAAGACGGCCTTAAGGGCCCCTCGACGGCCCGAAGACGGACCGACGACCGCCTCAAGAGAACTCCCATCTGGCCAAGAGGGCCTCAGGACGGCCCAAGAAAGCTCCCAGGCAGCACAAGAGACCCCCAAGGGTGCACCACAGTACCCCAAGACAGCCCCATGACGGCCCAAAGGGGTCACGAGGAAGCTCCCGCACCCTTTCTGCTCTCCTGCCGCCCCTCGAACCGTCGCCTCCGAGAGCACTGGGCTGGCACGGTGGCCAGACCTGCCGCAGGCAGCTGACTCAACTCAGACCTGGTCCACGGGCCCCTCCCGGGGGTCCACCCTGGCCCGGTTTTCTGAGCTGCGTCCATCCGTGAGGACGGCGATCTCCACAAAGTCACGAGCCCGTCGGAGAGAAAGACGATGTCGGTCCACATGGACGTCGACGACGACGACGACCGCGGCGACGACGGCGGCCGTGAGCGACGGCGACAGTGAACGGCGTCGGCGACTGCGGCGGTGGCGGCGACGGCGCCAGCGACGGCGACGTCCACAGCGGCGACGACGGCACTGCCGCCTGGTGCCGCGAGCAGGGCCGCCGCCGCCAGTGACCACCGCCAGGCCGCGCCGCGGCGCCCAGGGTCCCGCCCAGCCCACAGCAGGCGGAGCAGCCCGCCAGAGAGTCCTGCGCGCCCCGCGCCGAGGGCCGAGGCTTCGACGATGGAGGGTGGGCCAGTCTTGAATGATGCTGAGCGCTGTTGGGAGTCTGGATGCCTCTGGATGCGTCTGGCTCCGAGCGGCAGCGCCGTCGTCGCCGTCGCCGACGCAGCCGCCGCCGCCGTCGCCGCCGCTGCCTCCGCGGCCATCGCCGCCACCGTCGCCGTCGCCGCCGTCGTCCTCGTCGTCTTTCTCCGGCTTTGGCTCCTACGAGCCCGTTTCCAAGTCTCCGCGATAGCGCCCGTGCCCCGCCCCGCCCCCGCCATCGCCCCCATCCGTGCCCACGTCACGATTCAGGCCAGCGCCTTGCTGGAATTTGCCATCCCGACGCATGCCCAGACGGCGCGAGCGCGAATCGTGACGTGACCAGCCCCCCCTCCTTATCCCCCCCCCTGGCCCCCGGTCACGCCTGTGATCCACAGGGAGTACAAAAATTGGTCTCTACCTCCCCGTCGTCGAGGGAGCAGCAGGGGTGAGGGGGTGTGGGAGGGAGAGATAACAGAGAAACGCCAGATACGCAAACTTTTGGCGCTCCGCGCGGATCTCTTGGATTCGCGCTGGACCCCCTCTCTGGCGCGCGGAGCGCGCCAGGGGCGGCGCTGGAGGCGCCGCCGGGGCGCCCCAAATGCCGAGCGAAGAAATCCGCGCGGAGCGCCAAATACTGATGTGTATGGCGTTCTTCTCATTCGGAGAGGGAGGGGCCTCAGCGGATAAATACGACGAAGGAGAGAGAGGAGGACCAGGACGAGGACCAAGAATTCGGCGGCCAGCAGGCCAACGATGTGATGGAATCTTCGGTACGAGGGTGCGAATGCTTGTGCGCTCTTCTAGGCTCGCGCGTGCGTGGCGGCCCCTGGAGGTCCCGAAGGGGAAGTGCCCTGGGCAAGTCAAGAGCAGGGATGCCAGAACTCCTGGCTGCCGCCTTCACGACGCTTAGAGTGGCCAAGCAAAAGCACCAAGGAACCGCCACGAATACCAACGGGGACTGCTGAACGGGTCTCATACAGCATCTGGACCTTTCCAGACTACTAGATGGTCTGCAACAGTGCTTGCTTGATTTAGACCCCAAGACCCATGAGAAACACATGAAACCATTACAGAGAACTCCAAAGTCTGAAATCCAAGAACGTTTCGAGGCCATCCCACGAACAATAAAGGATTCGTACTTGTACCTGCTCGTTTCCCCGTTGGGGCACGCCGTGACTCCCGCTCTGTGCGATAAATAGACTGAGGATGATAGTGCTGTGATGTTGCACCTGCATCCCGCGGCAGTTCGGATGGGAAATGGCAACGAAATATGTGTTTACGCAATGGCGATATGACTTGTCAGGACATTTCTAGGTCGACAAGGCTCTCAGCCGTCTGCTGATCAACACTGCCCACAGCCTCAACCCTCAACACATCATCTTCTGCAGTGCGCACGCTTTGCGTAGTCACAACTATACTCTCCTTTCATCTCTCCATCAGGTGTCCCCCGTCACCCTTCACCCCTGGCCTCCCTTCTCTTTCCCTCTCTGGTGGTACGATATTGTGTACACCACCCAGACAAACAAGCTGGTGCGGCACAAGACGGTGGAGCGGGGGGGGCTGTGCACAAAAAATGGCATCGCCTGGGGGTGGGTTTTTTGCACGCCACCCCCAACAAACAAACTGGGGAGGCACAAGGTTCGCGCGCGGGGGTGGTGGCCGTCAATCGGCCCCCGACTCTCACCCCTCATTCCTTCCCCACCCTGCTTCTTCGTCCCTCCCCCCCTGCCTGCGACAGCCCTCCCCTCCGACGAGTGGCACGGCGACCCGCAGGGCGTGAGGCCACTGCACCAGCGAGGGCAGCGACGCCGAGTAGAAGCCGTGCGCCAGGTGCAGCGGCCCGCAGTCGAAGACAACCAGCTCGGTCGCGACGATGCCCAGCAAGTACGCCGCGGACAGGGACGCGGACCTCGCGCCTCTCGGCATGCAGGAAGCGGGTCGGGAGGGAAACGGCCCCTGGACCCCCGGGGGGCTTCCCCCCAGGACCGGCCGCTCGTCCTGCGCTGAGGTCCGACGGTCCCCGGGACCCGCGGCGGGCCCCGGAGGCTCGGCAAGGGAAGAAGACCTCAGGACCCGCCTCCCTCAAGGGCCCCCCTTTCTGGGCAGCTGGAATGGGCACGGAGAGGATGGGCACGATGCCCAACAACAAATGTTGTCCCACATCGACAGCGGCCGCTGCTGGGCAGAGCCTTCCGTCTGAAATGAACAGCGTCCGCAGCGACGCCGACGGCGAACCCTGTGCAGTATGAAAGGACCTCTAGCCCGTTGGGAGGGGGCCTACATTAGGAGGACCAGAAACATCAGGGATAGGGTACCTTCTTTTCTGCAGATCAAACCAAACCGCCCAGATGTGTTATCCCTACTGCAAAGACGGGGACCTCAATGAGGCCGCGTTTTCACCATGTTGGTCGGGTTAGGGGTTCTTCTATCTTCGATGAAGAGCGCTGCTGCTGGTCTTCGTACCCAGTCTTCGACATAGAATCCGGAACAACTGCATAAACATAAACTTGTGGCGTTCCGCTCTGATTTCTTGGATCTGCGCTGAACCCCTTCCCTGACGCGCGGAGCGCGCGCCACGGGCGGCGCCGGAGGTGCCGCCGGGGGGGGGCCCAGCGCGGATCCAAGAAATCCGCGCGGAGCGCCAAAAGTTTCTGTTTATTTGGGCGCCCGAGTTATCCGGGGAAACTCGGGTCAGGGGTAACTCGGGTTTGGATTCCCGAAAAAGGAACCCGAGTTAGACCTGACCCGAGTTACCCCTGATGATGTGGGGCTCTGGACGACCGAATTATCCGGGGTAACTCGGGCCCGGGGTAACTCGGGTTCGGATTCCTCAAAGACGAACCCGAGTTAACCCTGACCCGAATTACCCCTGATGATTCGGGGCTATGGTTTATGCCGGTTCTTCCTTCGATTCGCACCCATTCCGAGCTCGTTTTCCTCCACGGCGCGCCTCGCAAGACGCCCCTGCTGCCGCCGGCACCCGCGGCAAGCTCGGCGCCTCCCCCGGGAGCTCGCGGGCTGGCTCGCCCGCCCTCGGCGAAGTGGCTCCTGACCAGGGCAACCCCTACAGACAAGCGGCGCCGTCGTCGTCGTCGTCGTCGTCATCCACATCGTCGTCGTCGTCATCCACGTCGTCGTTGTCGTCGTCGTCGCCGCCGTCGTCGTCGTCGTGGCCGCCGTCGTCGTCGTCGTCGTCGTCGTCGTCGTCGTCATCCTCGTCGTCGTCGTCGTCGTCATCCACGTCGTCGTTGTCGTCGTCGTCGCCGCCGCCGTCGTCGTCGTCGACGTTGTCGTCGTTATCCACGTCGTCGTCGTCGTCGTCGTCGTCGTCGTCGTCGTCGTCGTCGTCGTCGTCGTCGTCGTCATCCACGTCGTCGTCATCCACGTCGTCGTCGTCGTCGTCGTCGTCGTCGTCGTCGTCGTCGTCGTCGTCGTCATCCACGTCGTCGTTGTCGCCGTCGTCGGGGTCGGCGTCGGCGTCGGCGTCGGCGTCGGCGTGCGGGGCCTCCGGGCGCGCGGCGCCCGCGGCGAGGCGCAGCCGCGCCGCAGCAGCGGCGCCAGCACGGCGGGCCGCCCTGCCGGGAGCCCTGCGGCCGCCGCCGCACGCCACGCGCCGCGCGCGCAGGCGGCGGGGCCGGGCCTCGGCGGCCCCGCCGCGGCAGCCAGCGGCGCGGGCGGCGGGGCGGGGCGCCGCAGGGCGGCCCGCGCGGCGGCCGGGCGGCAGGGCATGTTCGCGGCTGCGGGCGGGGGCGGCGAGGGCAAGGAGGAGGAGGAGGAGGAAGAGGAGGAGGAGGGCGAGGAGGAGAAGGAGGAGGGCGAGGAGGAGGGCGAGGAGGAGAACGAGGAGGACAACGAGGAGGACAACGAGGAGCACAACGAGGAGGGGGGCGAGGGCGAGCGGGAGGACGCGGACGAGAGGAGAAGCGCTGTGAAGGACCGCGGGCGCGCCCGGCGGAAGGGGGGCGGCCGGAGCGCCGCCTGTGGGAGGCGGGGAGAGGGGGGAGAGGGGAAGTGAGGTGGGCAGCGATGGGGCGAGGGAGAGGGAGAGGGGATGGGGGTGGAGAGAGAGAGAGAGAGGAAGTGAAGTGAAGTGGGCATGGATGGGGGGCGAGGGAGAGGCAGAGGGAATGGGGGGAGGGGGACGCGGGCCAGAGGGCTGCTGTGGGGGATGGATGGGTAGGAGGGGGCGGCAGGGAATGTTCCTCTTAACCTTGCCCAGTGGGCAACGTTTAGCAAAGCCCTTATCCCCATGGGCGTGGCCTGGGTCCCTCTGGCCGATTTGCACCCTTTGATGGGGAGATACGCAGTTTCTCCGGGTGCCGAGGGGTATATCCCAAACTGGGGTGCTGAGGTGGTGGGGGTCTGGATGGGAATCGGGGTGGGGATGGAGGTCGGTGACACGATACGGATCTCAGCTTGCCCATGCCCCATTCTAAGTCCCATCGCAAGCAATACCAAATCGACCACACCTCGACATGACTATATACTCGCGAACAGACAGAATACGTGGCGATCGTCGAGTGCCGAAATGCAGCAACATGAATATGCGAACGGCAGCAGTAAGGTACGAATGATACCGAACAGATGATCGGGCAACCAATGATAAACGCTCAAGTTGTTGAAAGTGTGGCTTGGTCCCCTGCAAAGGCGCAACGCGAAAGCCTGAAGCGCACCGTTTGTTCCGTCTCCGCTTGCCGCCTATTCAGACACGCACTGCTTCGCAAAATGCCACCTGTTCAGACCGACACAGCAAGACAGTGCTGCAAAGCGGGAGGAGGGCTGCACAGCGAGACAAGTCAGATGCGCCCAAGCACCCCAGGCGCAACCTAACTGTCCAGACTTCCGACGGCCACGCACCCACTAGCCCCTCTGCTCAAGAGCTGGTAGAGGGAAGAGTGAGCGCCAATGAATGCCACCGACTCAGTCCTTGTTGTCTGCCGGCAAGCCCAACATCTTGATCGCCGCTTGTCCGTTCTGCCGCAGCAAGGGGTGGCAAAAGAGATCTAGAGATGGTGATCTTAGTAAACGTCGAAGTCTAACTATACACATGTACATATTTACATATGTACCTATGCATGCGCCTCTATATCTATGTTAGCCAGCGTAACCCCAAACAGTAATGGCTTGCAATATGAGCGGTGCAGTCTAGATGGCGTAATCAATGCGATGCAGTCTAGGTGGTGCAAAACATGCGGTGCACTCACTCAAATTACGTGGCGCCAAGCAACGCAAGGCAACGCAAAGCAACACAAAGCGACGCAAAACAAAGCAATGCAACACAATGCATAGCCATGCGGAGTTACGCTGCATAACTGAAGCAACGTATGCAAAGTGATGCATTGCAGAGTGATGCATTGCTTTGCACAGCTTATGTAAAGCAAGACAAAGGAATGCGAAGCAATGCTGAGCAACGCAAGCCGAGGAACCGAGAAACCAACGAACCAAGACCACAAAACTAAGAAACCAAAAGGGAACCCGGGCAACGCCTGGTAAGGAAGCAAAACGAATGCCCCCTGAGGAACCCCCTCGAAACGGGCCTCGCACCCACCAATTCTCTGCTAGGCAAACCCAAAATATGGAACAAGGAGCGGGAGCTGGTCAAAAAGTGACGTGAAAGCGCTTCGCTGCATGTGCGTCGCCACTGCGTGGAAAGGGTGGATATGCTCGTGCTAACACAAAGTACGAGGAAAGCTTACATGTGACGTTTGGGATCTCGCCCCTTCGAAATCTATGTCAAGGTCACCCTCTGTGTGTCTGTCTGGAGATACGAGTCTCTGGTCGACAGGCGATTGGTCAACATCGGAGGAAGCCACGCATTGAGCAACGCAGGCGCCACGCGCAGGAGAGGGGCATCACTCTCTCGTAGTGATCGGATGGCGCACACAACATGAGGCAAGCGATGCATGAAGCGTCCGCGTAAGCGACGGGGGGGCGGGGAAAGTGACACCTGGGGGGGGGGAGCGACAAAGAAGTCGAGCCTCGCAGCGTTCGGAGCCAGGGGGGGAGACGGAGCATCAGCACCGGCTCTTCTCTCGCATGCTCCCCAGTAATCTGTCGAGAGAGAAACAACATGGGCGGAGCAGCCTGCGTGGACTCCAGCAGCTTCATGGAAACTATGTACCAAAATGTTTCCAGCCAAGGCACTGTGTAAGGCGCACTGAAAATATTCCAAGACGGGACGATGCCCAAGTACAAGCCCCACAAGAAAAACACCACACCTTGGGCGGTGTGCAAAGCATTGCTGCTCCTCTCTATCAACACTATGCCCTCACCTTCCGCGGCCAGCCACAGGATGATTCCTTGAACAGCAAGATGGGGCATTGAAGACCAAGGATGACTTGCTAGTGTGTTCCTCCTTCTCCACCGCTCTCCTCCTCATCCTCCATCTCCTCCTCATTCGTCCAGCCTCCTCCTCCTCCTCCTCCTCCTCCCTCCTCCTCCTCCTCCTCCTCCTCCTCCTCCTCCTCCTCCTCCTCCCCCCTCCTGGAGAGAAGACCCGTATGGCGCGAGGAGAAGAGGAGTCTGGAGATTGAGCCTCGACTGTGAAGAGCCCTGGGCAGCGAGGAGCACCGTGCACAGCAGGAGCGTGCCAGCGGCTGCGAGGCCGCCGGCCCTCACCGGAGCTGATGGGCCCGTTTTCCACCACCACCACCACCACAAGTTGGAGGGGGGGGGAAGGAGGTGGAGGATGAGGAGGAGGAGGAGGAGGAGGAGTAGGAGGAGGAGAAGGAGGTTTGAAGAGGACCCCCCCGTCCAACTTATGGTGGTGGTGGTGGTGGTGGAAAACAATCCCATCAGGAGCGCTGGCCGCACAAAAGGTGAGCAGCACCCCCCCTTGGCCACGAGCTGGCGGCGCGCCCCAGGGCTCGCCATCGCTCGGACGTCCATCTCCCGTGCATCTTTGTTCGGTCTCGTGCGCGTGTTTTTTTTTTTGCTCGCGATGGTCCAGGATGGTCCTCGAGGGTCCTCGCCGAGAAAAAAATACACACGTCCGAGCGATGCCAGGAGGGGCTCGGGCGGAGGGATGGCCTGCCAGGGAGGCAGGACGCCTCCGCAGCGGGCCCGAGGCTTCCGAGAAGGCCTCTCCGGAGGCCGCCCGCAGGAGGCCGGACCCGAGGGGGGTCGGACGATCGCACAGCATGGCCGATGCATCGGCCATGCACGTTCGGCTCCGGATCGCACCGCATCGCCGACGCATCGGCGGTGCGGCGCGATCTCGCGATCCTCTCCCGCGATCCCCTCCCGGCGGCGAGCCCGGGGGGGGGGAACATTGAGAAGGAGAGGGCCTTCCCAGAAGGCTCGGAAGTCCCCCGGCCTGCTGAGAAGAGTTCTGAGCCTTCTCCGAAGACGCAGGCAACTTCTCGGAAGGCACGAGGGCTTCTGAGAAGTCCCGCCGCCTTCTGAGAGGGCCTTATCCTTCTCATTATCCCCACTCGCTCGCCGCCGATGATCGCGCCGCACCGCTGACGCATCGGCGATGCGGCGCGATCTTGCGATCCTCTCTGCTCTGGCCCCATTGGCCCACCCACCATCGCCCCGCCACATTCTGCACGCCGCCGAACGGATCCCATGCCTCCAGCGCCGCGAACCAAAATCACGGATGTGCGTGATCTCGCGAGTTCGGTCTTTGGCGAAGCGACGGCCGGACCCCAGGACCATGAACAAAATGAAGAGTCGAACGTCTCAACAGGTCCGCATCCCTCCTCCCTCCCTCCTTCCTCCTGCTCTGTTTGCTGTCCGACTTCTCGGCAGGGGGGAGGGGCAGGAGCCCGTCCGGGGGAAGGAGTCGAGAGCTCCAGTGACCGCGTCGCAGAAAGAAATTGCGACGCTGCCCACCGCCATGGAACACGCAGTACTGCCCCATGTCCGTGCATCACTGTTCCCGGAGCATGGGCTCCACGGCACCACGACTGGTGCCAACACAGCATACCACGGGAACGCTGCATAATCCGCCGGCCCCCGTGTGGGGCCACCAGGCTGTAGGACCGTGATTCGCAGTTTCCTGTACCAGTCGTAGGTTGTAGTTTCCAGTGTTACAGTTCTGCTTCTTGCTGGTTACTGTAACTAGTTGATTGACCGCGCGAGGGGGGGGGGAGGCCCAAACAATATTTTTAGCGTCTCCTGGGCGCGTTGTCTGAATTGCTGGGGGGGCTCGAAATCGACACCCCTCACGTAGATCCGCGGTGTCACGGTCCAAAAACACAAGAGATTTGCCACATTTCTGCAATTCGGTGCCACCCCTCACGCAGATCCGCGGGGTCAGAGTCCAAAAACACAGGGGATTTGCCACATTTCTGCAATTCGGCGCCACCCCTTATGCAGATCCGCGGGGTCAGGGTCCAAAAACACACGGGATTTGGCACATTTCTGAAATTCGGTGCCACCCTTCACGCACATCCATCGCAAGGCGTGGTAACCCAAACTGCGAGAACTCCCTCGGCCCTGTAATCGCAAGGTGTGGTAACCAAGCCCGTAAACCATACACGTCTTACCAATCGCCAGGTGTGGTAACACCTCTTGTGATCAGTTGGTTTTGCTGACTGCGAATCGGCTTCGCATGAAGTTTCGATACTGCTTCACGACAGCGCCAAGGCTCATGACTTAGCTCTTCCATGGCCCATTCTCCGAGAGAGGGGGCCGGCGGCAGGGGGCGAAGCCCTTACGGATATTACAACCGAGCACAACACAGCGCGAGACGAGCGCGAGCCGAGACCAGTGCGACGCGAGGCGCACGAGCCAAGAACGGTGCGCGACGCGCGGCTCGGCACTGCGCATCCCTTACCCGTCATCCGCACGCGTGTCTTCTTCACCGTGGAGTGTCGGGTCGGGCGAAAGGGGGGGATAGCAAAGGGGGGGTTTGAGAATCAGCTCACGTAGCTGATCTTCCCGGCGCCTCCCGGCGCCGGAGGCGGCCCTGTATCGAGGAATGGGCCCCTCGCGAGGCCGAAACCAGCTGCCTGCAGCAAATTTCGTAACCCCCCCTTTCCCAATCCCCCCCTTTCGCCCGGCCCGAGAGTGCCCTCGGTCTCGGGTGCCGTGACTGCGCTGAAGAGCCCGTGGCCCCCAAGCTCACGGACTCTGTCGGGCCCCCACGGGGCCCCCGTGCGCGTGGATTCGGAACTTGCACCTCTGGCATGCCCTCGGATGGCCACAAGGGCCCAGTGCCGGATGCAGCCCGCTTGGGGCCTGTGGGGCAGTCTTGGAGGTCCCTTGGGGCTACCCGGGAGGCCAACCTCACTTTACAACATGTTCGACGTGCACGGCGTCTGCTTTCTCGGATTCTGAGCTGTTCGGTCTTTGGAGCGTCCAAGCCGGCCCGGGACGGCCCCGAGATGGCCCCAAGGCGACCCTTGAGGCGACCAAACGGGGCCCATCAGGCCTCCGACACAGCCCCAGGAAAGGTCCAGTAGGGAAGGCTCAAACTGCCATTTGGAGTCGTCTACCCCGAGATGGCCCTCGAGAGCATCAGCAGGATTCCAAGAGGCGCCCACTACAAGAGACACCCAAGAGACCCCCATGAGGCCTCCAAGAGGCCTCCAAGACAAGAGGCCCCCAAGAGACCTCTCTGGTCCACGACCCAGGGACGGCGGTGGCATGAGCCAAATGCCACTAGAGAATAGTCCGTATCACAAACAACATCCAGAGAGGAAGAAACAAATACATCAACATAAACGTTCGAAGATCCACGCGGCGCTCCAGAAGCTCGTCTGGATGCCGCTGCTTCCTCCTCGAGTCCAAGTGAGATGCCCACGAAACCTCCCGTCCCCCTTCCCTCTCAATGCTTGCCATGACTTCGAGATGCCCGCAGACGATCCGCCGCTCGCACCCCAATACTGCGGGTCTGGTATCCCCGCGTTGTAGGGGAACGACGAGCACCAGGGTACCTCCCAATCACCAGAGAAGGCGAAGCAGGCGGAGACGAAGCACGAGGCACTCTGGACGTGATGCGGCCTCGGACGCCAACTGTATGTACATTCGAGCATGCCTGCGCGCTGAGAATCAGAGGTCCTCCTCCTCGTCCTTCTGCCCTCAGACTCTGTCGCATCGTATCCTGGGCGGCCCCACCTTTCGGCGGCAGCACTCGAAGCAACACTCATGTTCGTGTTCATCCGAAGAGAAGTGACAGGATAAAGACTGATGGGAGCAGGCAGACAAAAAGAGCAAGGCGAGAGCAAGGAGGACGAAGGGGAGGGAGAGAAACAACAGAAGGCAAAACGTACATGATGCATGAAACAATGAGGGCGGAGGGCGCAAGGCAGAGTGAGGAGAAAGAACATCAGAAGTAAGCAAAGAGGGAGGAAAGGTAGCCAGAATGAGGACGAATGGGGCGAAGGGCTAGGGAAGCGGGACGAGGCAGCAGACATGAGACAGCATCAGGTAGGCTGGGAGGAGGAGGGAAGGAGGGCAGCCTCAAGCCGCAAACGCCGGAGGTACAAGGGGGAAGGAGCTAGGAGAGAGGGAGGAGGACAGGATGAGGAAGGAGAGGGGACAGGGAGGGAAGGAGGAACTAATGAGGAAGGAGGAAGGGAGGAAGGAGGAAGGAGGAAGGGAGGAGGAAAGAATGAGGAAGGGGGGGAGGAGGAAAGGAGGAAGGAGAGGGGACAGGGATGGGGGATGGAGGAAGGAGAAGCGACGGAGGAGGCAGGACGTGGGTCGTGGTCCAGCCGCTCCCTGCTGCCGACGCTCGCCGCACGCCCTCGCGGCGGCACCTCGTAGCCGAGCTGGGTGCCGTAGTAGACGCCCATCGCCCCGATGGCCCTGCGGGCGCGGCACCGGGGGACCGGCAGGGCGTCAAGGAGCAGAGCGTGCCCTCTTGGGGGCCGCGTTCGCCTCCCTGGGGGGGGGGCCTTGGACACGGCCCGTGGACAGAAGCCAGGCCCATCAGGGGGCGAGAGCGAGGAGGACGGAGAGCAGAACCACGGAGGACGGGGTGGAGGGCGCGAGGACGCGGAGGAAGGACGTCGCGGGAGGAGGACGTAGGAGGAGGGAGGGAGGAGGGAGGAGGCAGGACAAGAGGCGTGGAGGACGAGGAGCAGGATGACGGATGACGTGCAGGAGGGAGGAGGAGAAGGAGGAGGAGGTGGAGGAGGAGGCGGAGGAGGGAGGAAGAGGAGGAGGAGGAGGAGGGAGAGGGCAGGAGGACTAGGGGGAAGAGACCCTTCGCCCCTGCCCCATCATGACCCACTCAAACACTGTTTCTTCGAAGGACACGCTTGGACCCTGAAAGCGGCTGCCCAAGTGATGCGACACGCCTCCTCCTCCTCCTCCTTCTCCTCCGCGTTCCTCCATCATCCACTTGCTCCACTTCCTCCTCCTCCTCCTCCTCCTCCTCCTCCATCATTGCCCCGTCTCTCCCCCTCCTGGGTCCCTCCTTGTACAACCTTCCACCATGCTTCCCCCTCTGGGCAAACCCTTCCCTATTTCTCTCTTCCAGGACGAAGCGTGGAAGGAAAAGGAGAAGAGAAAGAAAAGAGAAGGCTCTTGATTCCGCCTTGCCTCCCGCTCCGTTTCCCGCTCCGTCTCTCGTGTGGCCCTTCTCACAGTCCAAGGCCCTCCCTCCTGAACACCGCGGCGTTGAGCAGCTGCCCTATCCCTATCAAGACGGCCGCGACGCAGAGCTGCACCTCCGATCCCGCCCATCTCTCCACACCCTCAAGCCGACATTATCAACATGTCCCTGGGGGAGAAGGGGAGGAGGATTTCGAGGATCGAGGTTCAGGGGTTCTGTTTTTTCGTACATACATGCGTATACACACATAGATATACGATAGCCAGCCCGGACCCCAAGCACTGTGGTTCTAGAAACCTGCATGGTGTATTCCTCGTGGAGCAATCAATGTCGTGCAAGATTTGAGGTGCAATAGATGTGCTGCAACCTGTGTGGTGCCATCGATGTGGAGCACAATGCTTAGTGCAAACTGCCTCGTTCAATTTACATCGTGCCAAATTTGGTGTGCAAGCTATGGTGTGCAATATACGTGATGCAATCCAGGTTGTGCAATTATTGGGGTGCAAGTCTGGTGTACACTATATGTGGAACAGTGTATGTGGAACAACCTATGCTATGTACTATAAAGGGTATAATACATGTGCAATACGTTACGTGGTGCAAGCTATGATAAACACTCGATATGGTGAAAAGCAGGTGCTGCAATTTAGGTTGTGCAATCTACGTGGTGCAATTTACGTGGTACACTCTAGTGTACAAGATATGCGGTGCAGTCAACGTTGCGCAGTACATGTGGTGAACAAACGATGTGGTGCAATATATGTCGTGCAGGCTAGGTTGTGCACAATGTGTTATGCAACCATGCAACCTATGTTGTGCAGGCGGTGTGATGCAATCTATGTTGCGTACCCTGCGTGAGGCAACCTATGTGGTGCAAATCCCGAGGTGCAATTTATGTTGTGCAATTCACTTTGAATGTCTTGAAGCTGTCATCTCCACTGCAAGTGCAAACACCCCACCCTCCCACCCGCAACGTGGTCGCAAGACCTCTTAAGACCGTGACGGTAGGTACCAAATGGCACTTGGCAACGGCACCGACGCCGACGACGACAGCGACAACGACGACGCCGACGACGACAACGACACCGACGACGACTCCGATGACTTTTACGACGACGACAACGACGACGATGACGACGACACCGATGACGACGACGACGACGAGGTCGACGACAACGACGACGACGATGACGACGACGACGCCGACGACGACGACGACGCCGACGCCGACGACGTCGACAACGAAGACGACGACGACGACGTCGCCAACGAACACGACGACGACGAGTGAGGGAGGACGATGACGCCGACGCCGGCGACAACGACGAGGGAGGAGGGAGGACGGCGACGACGCGAACGTCGAAGAAGGAGGGAGGACGGCGACGCCGATGACGACAACGACGGGGGAGGAGGGAAGACGACGACGACGACGAAGACGACGGCGACGAAATAGTAGGGACGACGGCGAGACGCCGACGACTGACGACGACGACGACGACGACGACGACGACGACGACGAGGGAGGACGGAGGACGACCACGGCGACAACGACGACGGAAGCGACGACGACGCCAGAGAGGACGACGACGACGACGACGACGAGGAAAGACAAAGGACGACGACGGCGACGACGACGACGAGGGAGGAGAGAGGACGGCGACGACGACGACGAAGCAAGAGCGCGCGCGCACGCTTTTGTTCGAAAATCCGTGTAGCGAAACCTTGTGTTTTTATATTTTTCGGACACACGATTTTGAAACCCTTCCGAAACCAAAGGTTTTTCGGCATGCGCGCGCGACGACGCGCGCGTTTGCACTTCCTCCCATCTGTTGCAGAGGATTCTTGCGACGGCACGCGCGCAAGGGCGTCATGCGCGCGCGAAGCCCGTCGTTTGTTAGCACGTTCTGAAAAAATGAAAAACGTATTGTTTTCTGAAGAGTTCACAAGAGCGCGCGCGTAAGCTGTTTTAGAAACCCCGTGTTGCGAAATCATGTGCTGTCGTATGGTTTTTGGAAGCTCGATTTTGACATCCTTCCGAAACCGAAGGTCTTTAAAGGATTTCGGCGTGCGCGCGCGACGACGCGCGCGTGTGCACTTCGTGTCTGTTTGCAAGG